TACACATTATGTCTTAATTATTTAAAGATAGTTCTAAACAACAACCCTGCAAGGGCATTGCAAAAATTGACAACTACTAATATTATATTATGCCGTTATGCGTGGTAAAGCCACGCTGCAGTTATATTATGGTTGTAGCGCGAATGGGTCGGCTTGACCGGGAAAGGACCACGCTCTCACAGAATACCAGTGTAAAATAGCAGCTTAATACTGCTGTGTTTCGTATGGTGAGTGTAGAGATCCGAAGACCCTTTTTTACTGGAAACGAGGCATTCCATCTAAGTCCTCAGGGGTGACAACGCAACTGCGTTTTGATTCTTAATGGAGGATAAATGTAGATGTCTATGGGCCACAGCAACCACTTACCATCAGGTGGACTGTGTGCTCGTTTGTCACCCTTAAAAATATTATTATTACATTAACATTATGGTGTAATTAATAATTACAATTAACTTAATTATTAAGGCTCCTACTATGATCAGTAACCTTGACTATTTAGACTTTGTTTAAATTTAGCGACATCTACCAAAAGCAGACGTACTACAATGGCACTACGTAAATAGTAGACAAAGATTAACGATGTATAGATAATATGACAACTTATAACTCGTACGAATTAACTTGAGACCTGGGCCGATGACGTAATTGTCAATGTACGGTGTGCAAAATAATGCGTCGTAATATTTTTTATTTGAAATTTTTGAGATTTGCATGAGATTATTAACAAAAACAAAATAAAATGTTCTGGCAAGGGGTGAAGTAATAAGTGATATACTGTTGCCATTTTTATATATGTATTTTAAATATTTATTTTCTATAATATATATAATATTATTTTTAGTTAACGCGTCAAGGAAGGACAAAGAAATAAACATACACACTTTCTCATTTATAATATTATTAATTTATTTATTATACACTTTATTGCACTATAAAAAGTGTTACAGATTCGTACACAATAAAAATACAAAGCATAACAGGCGACCTTATTGCTAAAAAGCAATCTCTCCCAGGCAACCTTAGGGTGAAAGTGAATCAATCTTGGATAAGCGGAACAGCACAAACTATGTAAAATCAAGGAATAGAAGTAAGGAATATTAATAAGGATTTATTATAATATTTATTATTCATTGTCACTGTATACGATCGGTTCTATTCCGTCCATTAAATCGTCCTCAGTTTCACTCTCTGAGCTGGATTCTTCCCCTCCGGAGGGATATAATTAATTCCCTCTGTTGGATTTCTCCAAGTCTATCACTCTCCCAGTATTCATTTTCTAATCTTTCGATATGGTTAATTTCTTTCTTCCAATCGGAAGCCGTTATAGACTGTATTGCGTCTCTTGTCAAACCCTCTATTTCCCTTTCAAACTGGTTAACACAAACGGCACAACACAACGTCCAAACTAACACTAACTAAAAACAACGCAATTAACAACAAACAGATAAAATAACGTTCAAGTATAACAAAAACAAACAAAAGTCCAAACCAAACAACAAACAATTATCAAAAATATCGAACTAGAGTCGAGACGCGTATCCGTAACAAAAATGCTATCGGTACTGAGCGCGCACGGCCAGCGCGGGACGAGGTTCGCATTCCAGCGGAGTCTCAAGTTAATTTGTACGTGTTGTACTTGCATAATTTTATTCGATCTCTGAGAGACCTAGCAGTGAATTGACGTATTATTCACTTTAGACCTTGTAACAATATTCACTCCCATGTTCAGCACGGACGTACCTACGTGATATTTTGTGAAGGTATGTGGAAGACCAGGTAAGAACCTTAGTGGTTCTCAGCAATGAAAATAGGAAGATTTAGTTTTCAGAAACTCTCATATTCAGCACGGACGCTGCTACGTGACACTTTGCGAAGGTATGTGGATGACCAGGTAAGTACCAAGTGGTTCTCAGCAATGGAAATTGTTAGGAATATTTAGTTTTCAGAAACTCTCATATTCAGCACGGACGCTGCTACGTGACACTTTGCGAAGGTATGTGGATGACCAGGTAAGTACCAAGTGGTTCTCAGCAATAGAAATTGTTAGGAATATTTAGTTTTCAGAAACTCTCATATTCAGCACGGACGCTGCTACGTGACACTTTGCGAAGGTATGTGGATGACCAGGTAAGTACCAAGTGGTTCTCAGCAATAGAAATTGTTAGGAATATTTAGTTTTCAGAAACTCTCATATTCAGCACGGACGCTGCTACGTGACACTTTGCGAAGGTATGTGGATGACCAGGTAAGTACCAAGTGGTTCTCAGCAATAGAAATTGTTAGGAATATTTAGTTTTCAGAAACTCTCATATTCAGCACGGACGCTGCTACGTGACACTTTGCGAAGGTATGTGGATGACCAGGTAAGTACCAAGTGGTTCTCAGCAATAGAAATTGTTAAGGAATATTTAGTTTTCAGAAACTCTCATATTCAGCTCGGACGCTGCTACGTGACACTTTGCGAAGGTATGTGGATGACCAGGTAAGTACCAAGTGGTTCTCAGCAATAGAAATTGTTAGGAATATTTAGTTTTCAGAAACTCTCATATTCAGCACGGACGCTGCTACGTGACACTTTGCGAAGGTATGTGGATGACCAGGTAAGTACCAAGTGGTTCTCAGCAATAGAAATTGTTAGGAATATTTAGTTTTCAGAAACTCTCATATTCAGCACGGACGCTGCTACGTGACACTTTGAGAAGGTATGTGGATGACCAGGTAAGTACCAAGTGGTTCTCAGCAATGGAAATTGTTAGGAATATTTAGTTTTCAGAAACTCTCATATTCAGCACAGACGCTGCTACGTGACACTTTGCGAAGGTATGTGGATGACCAGGTAAGTACCAAGTGGATCTCAGCAATAGAAATTGTTAGGAATATTTAGTTTTCAGAAACTCTCATATTCAGCACAGACGCTGCTACGTGACACTTTGCGAAGGTATGTGGATGACCAGGTAAGTACCAAGTGGTTCTCAGCAATAGAAATTGTTAGGAATATTTAGTTTTCAGAAACTCTCATATTCAGCACGGACGCTGCTACGTGACACTTTGCGAAGGTATGTGGATGACCAGGTAAATACCAAGTGGTTCTCAGCAATAGAAATTGTTAGGAATATTTAGTTTTCAGAAACTCTCATATTCAGCACGGACGCTGCTACGTGACACTTTGCGAAGGTATGTGGATGACCAGGTAAGTACCAAGTGGTTCTCAGCAATAGAAATTGTTAGGAATATTTAGTTTTCATAAACTCTCATATTCAGCACAGACGCTGCTACGTGACACTTTGCGAAGGTATGTGGATGACCAGGTTAGTACCAAGTGGTTCTCGGCAATGGAAATTGTTAGGAATATTTAGTTTTCAGAAACTCTCATATTCAGCACAGACGCTGCTACGTGATACTTTGTGAAGGTATGTGGATGAACAGGTAAGTTTAAGGAGTTCTCGGCCACGGAAACAGTGAGAAAGATTTAGTTTTCAGTTACTGTCATATTTATCACGGATGTTGCTACGATAAATATTCTGAAGGTCTAGTGATGATCTGGCTCATATATGTAAGTGCTAAATTAAGTAAAAGAGGAAACAAACTTTGCGTACTTTTTTTTATTATTTTATGATAACATATTAGGCACACCATAAATCTATCAAAATTAAATCAACCGTTGAATATTTTTTTGCAAGTTAAAATTCATTATAATCTAATCATCATGAACAGGTTGGTTTTTCCGCTTCTGGAATTACTGGTGTTGACGACCGTGTCGATTCTTGATATAAGGAAAGTGTTGTATTTTCTTCCTACTCAGCAATTGAAATTATGCGTTGTATTTTCCTCTTTTTCTCTTTTTTTATGAATTCAATTATGTAGATTGGATTACGTATTTCCATATTTCTAGTATGTCTTGGGTTTCAAATTTCAGACAATATACAATTTAAATAAAAATTGCATAATTTTGACTTCATTTTGTTTTCAAAAAAATCATCATCCCTATAAATAACTTCCGTTTTCAGTGGTTGCGACTAACTGAACCATACAGCGAATACACATTTTGCTTTGCGAGTTACGTGCAACTGCCCTTGTACCTGGTAGAACCAGTTGTGATTTATATTTATCTCTAAATTACCTGATAAACCACCTAATTCTTTTTATAAGACCTCTTACTCCGGCATCCATCAGCAATAACATCTATAATAGGAATGACATCAGTGGTTACACGACTTTTTTCTAAAGCAATCCTTTTTTCTTATTCTGCGGCTTCCGCATGGCGTTAGAAACAAACTTGTGCTATTTTTGGTACAGAAGCTTAGTGATCAAAGGTAAATCGATCGCTGATAGTAATTCATCTAATTTTGAGTAGCCTATACCAACAGAAACTGCACGGGCAACCACAGCTGTATGTATGTCCAGATCACCGGAGACATTTAAAATTCACTTTTTTTTTACACATCGATGCACCAGCGACTGATTCTGTATTTTTTCCAGAACACCTGGGATATTATTTAATAAAAACTTTCCTTTAGACATTAAACATTCTAGAGTAAACTTGGATGACAATCCAACTCGTTTCTCTCCAACAATTTTTAAACTTTGTACTCCACAGTTATATGGGCTATGATTGTTGATTTCTTGCAATTTTGAAAAAAAGTTATTTTATATCAACAATTCGCCTGCTACATATATTTCTTTTTTCTGTTTCTGGTTGATTCTTTTCAATAGTTACATCCGGTAAAATGTCATCTTGTTGATGCTGAGAACAAAATAATTATCATGTAATACATTGCTAAATTCATATACAAAAAAACTTCCGTGTATAATATTATCTTGATTATTTTTATTGGCCATATAGTTTCGTATTTCGTAGCATTTCTCAAATTTTATGGGTTCTCAGACTTGTCGGTTTCCTCAATATGTTTTTATTTACCAAAAACGAATAGTTATTAATGCGCAATGGGGAACCAGGAGTCAAAGTTCAATTTAACAATATTAAAAATAGACTGGCACTCTTAATTGTAACAATTAGCAACTGTAATATCTGGCGACGAAGTCTCCTCATCAACTGCCATACCGAACATAACGTGAGTTTCTACAATAGTCGTAGACGAATGTAATGCATTAGATTCAGTTGACGGATTTTTGCCCAGATTTTCAAAATGGAATTTCCGCTGATTTCTCAATTGCCTAAAAACATAAAGTTACATTAGAAATATTATCACAACAGTCACTCTCAACAAAAGAGTACAATAAGAGCATTTTCACAAAAGGTAAGTGAAATCATCACAGACAGCCAGGTAACTGCGAGCCCTTTAAAATGAGTACAAACACGATGCTACTACGTGGTTCCGCCACTAAGATCCTGTACCCACCTTCGGATTACTTCGGAGTGCAGCATCAGGTAAACGAAATCATCACAGACAGCTAGGTAACTGCGAGCCCTTTACAATGAGTACAAACACGATGGTTATACGTGGTTTCGTCACAGATCCTGTACCTACCCTCGGACTACTTCGGAGTGCAGCAGCAGGTAAATGAAATCATCACAGACAGCTAGGTAGCTGCGAGCCCTTTAAAATGAGTACAAACACAATGGTACTACGTGGTTCCGCCACTGAGATCCTGTACCCACCTTCGGACTACTTCGGAGTGCAGCATCAGGTAAGTGAAATCATCACAGACAGCTAGGTAACTGCGAGCCCTTTAAAATTAGTACAAACACGATGGTTCTACGTGGTTCCGTCACTAAGATCCTGTACCCACCTTCGGACTACTTCGGAGTGCAGCATTAGGTAAATGAAATCATCACAGACAGCTAGGTAGCTGCGAGCCCTTTAAAATGAGTACAAACACGATGGTTCTACGTGGTTCCGTCATTAAGATCCTGTACCCACCTTCGGACTACTTCAGAGTGCAGCATCAGGTAAATGAAATCATCACAGATAGCTAGGTAGCTGTGAGCCCTTTAAAATGAGTACAAACACGATGGTTCTACGTGGTTCCGTCACTGAGATCCTGTACCCACCTTTGGAGTGGAGGACTGTAGCATCAGACCAGCTAAAAATGGTTACGTTCATATTATTTTATATTTTTTCCACTAGACGTTTTTGTAGTACCAGCTATTTGCGGCTAAAAAAGTTCCCCACCTATACACGACAGTTTTCGGAACGCTGCCATACTCTATAAGTATTTACGCAAAAGAAAATAAATAAGGATAATTTACTTACCAATAGTTTATAAGAGCTTGGCCCCGCTTCACTTTTGACTTGCTTTTGTACTTCGGCATTGTCAAGCTTAGTCTATTCTATGATACGATTATATACAAAACTAAAACTAAAAACAATTTTATTTACATAAATCAACTTAATTCCTAATTTTTTATCATATATTACTAATGTACGTTTTATTTACAACAAATCTGTTTTTATAAATTTGAAATATTGCGAACTTTTTAATATTTTTGTCAGAAAATAACGCGTGCACAGTCCACCCGTCGCAAGAGTCGAACTGACACTGGTGAAGTGGTGAAACTGGTGAATATCAGTGTGACCATCCCAAAAATAGCAAATCTGCCACACACTTGAAAAAAATCTCTGAAAAAAAAAGGTGGCAGATCAGATTATCAGATAGACAAGACAACAAACACTGATTTGAAACTCGATCAGTTATTTTAATAAGAAATTAAACCTTATAGACAAGAGAACAAACACTGATTTGAAACTCGATCACTAATTTTAATAAGAAATTAAACCTTATATCTGATTCATTACCGTTCATAATCATTTGACGTACCATAAAAATTGAATAAACGAGAAATACCCGTATTATCTTGACAAATTATGTTTTACTAACCTACCAAATTAATGTATATTAAAAAATAAATTAAATAAAAAAAGACTTCGAGAAAGAAAAATAAGACTTCGAAAGTTATAAGTATTTCAAATACAAATACTAATATACAAAAATATATTCCATAAATATTAAAGATTTCTTTCAAATCTGCCAAAATCCGCCACTTTTTTGAATCGTCAGCTTAACCTGCCACAGTTCAAATTTAAGTGCCGAATCTGCCGAAATGGCAGAAATCTGCCACAAATGATCACACTGGTGAATATCCGTAATGGGCCATAGCGGGGCAGCTTCGGGTGGCGGAAAGGGGCCAAATTATATTTTACTATATTTTAAGAAATATATTTAACAAAACTACAATAAAAACAATACATTTTTTATTATGATTTAACAAATATTTTAATATAAATTTAATCTTAAACTATTGAGCCGTTCTTGAGGAAAAATACAAAATAAGTTTAAAACAGCCTTTGTCTTTGATTTTTTTTGTAATAATGGTCAAATATTCAAAAATTTTAAACACTACAAATAAATTGTGACGATCTAAACTATAACACCTAATTTTTTTTGTAGCAAATAAACAAAATGATTCGGCTATAACTCTTTGTAAACCTGGGCGTTTTTCACGATTTGAGCAATGTAAAAGCCTTAACGAGATCATTCTATATTATTTATTGTTATTTCCTACGCAATCACTATATATATACATATATGTATATATATATACGCAGTACGAGAGTACGAGACGTCTTTCAATTGATTTAGTGCAGAAAGCGCTATTTAGTGAAGTTCCTCCCAAATAAATAGCGCTTGTGACGTCACACTAGGTAGAAACAATCTGACTACCTTTGTTTTGACTCATTGTTACATACGTATATTTATGACTGCAATAAAAATACGCTTCATGCGCAAGCGGCAACCGAATTGTGAAAGGAAGTACAGCCGGGCCAGGGTCGCCCTAAAGGTAAGCTCATATTCGCAATAGGCACGGTTGGTTGACATTCCCGCCTTGCCGTGGCGTGTCCTAACCGCCCATGGTGAACGAAGAGGACTATTGCTGGCCCGAGGTAGCTACTTCGACTGGGCTTGGCGATCACACTTCCGACGTGTGCTCGCTTCTTCCTGATCCCACATCACGCAGGTCGAAATGAGACCGCGGAAAATGCCTGACCAACCATCACCAACCAAACCTAGGCCAACCACGATCCCCATTTCCCACCAGAGTTTCAATCGTACTGCAGATGTGGTCGCCAGAAAGAATTTACCATGCGATCGGTGGTCGATCTACAAATTCATATTCTCGTATTTTTTTAAAAATGTTACCATCACACTAGCTATAGATATAATTTTATATGTAGTAGCCACGCTGCAACTGTATTACAGTTGTGGCACAAATGGGTCGCCTCGACTGGGGAAGAACCACGCTCTCATTGAATATCAGAGTAATATAACAACTTAATGCTGTCTCGTATATGGTGAGTGTAGAAAATCGGAGACCTTTTTTATTATAAACGGGGTATTCTATCTTAGTCCTCAGTGGGCGACAACGCATCTGCATTTTGATTCCTGAGGGTAGATGTAGATGTGTCTATGGGCCACAAAAACGGCGACTAACGGACTGTGTGTTCGTTTGTCACCTTTAATATATGAAAAAAGAATTTTGTCCTGTATCGCAGTCAGTTTACAAACATAAATTCCACAAGGATAACAAGCCAGACCCGTAACAATTATTTGTAAGCCATTCAAGTATTTGTTACGTACGAGTTTCGAGCCCGGGCCATCAGCTCCGCAATTCAATGCTAAGGCACGGAGCCGTTGGCGCCGTACTATCTAGGCGACGACGTAATACGAGATAATTTTATCGCTCACCTACTTTTTAATCGTATAGTGACAAGATATTCAACCGATTATGACGAAACCAAAGGAGGTTAGGACTTTCTAGTTTACCTGTCCCTTGGTAGGTACAAACTTGAACGATTTTAACTAATTTAGTTAATGTTTGTAGCATTTGTTTAATCTAACTGTCAAAAAAGTAGAGTTGGGCCGATTAGTACTTTGGCCGATTAGCCGATTAATCGTTTAAGAAATGGCCGATCACTTATCTTCACGCACAATCCCTAACGGGGTAGCCAGAGAGAACAGATCGCCAAGTGTCACGATCCTCACATACCTCTTTCGCTTCTTTCAGGTTCATTACCTTCTTCATACATGCACGTCTAGGTATCCGAGTACTCTTGACCTTCCCCTCTTCGAGTAATTTGCTCACATGGTCTTCGAAAGTTAGTCTCGGTCTACCTCGACACCTTTTAATATTTACTTTCGCGCTATATATTTTCTTCACCATTCGGTCTTCACTCATTCGCTCAACGTGCCCAAACCATCGGAGTACGCCCCTATCAATTTTTGTGATAAGTTCATCTTTCAATCCTGCCATATTGCGAATCTCTTCGTTTCACTTTCGGTCGGCTATGGTAACGCCGCACATTTTACGAAGAGATCGCATCTCCACTGCATTCAACTTGCTTTTATGCTTCTTCTGGCATACCCAGGTTTCGCTGCCATATAACAAAGTCGGTACTAACACTGCGTTATGTATTGCAAGGCGTGCACTCTTCACTACGCCTTGCCTTTTGACTAACGCATTCAGGGCACCATTGACTTTGTTTCCGGCAGCGACACGCCTGTCCACATCTAAATCACATCTTCCATCCCGGCTGAAAGCACTCTCCAAGTATACAATTTCATTTACCTGTTCTAGACATTCCTGATTTACCCATATTTCACATTTCGTTAAGAGAGATCTTCGTCCTTTTCAAATACCAGAACCTTAGTTTTATTAGCATTCAAACGGAGACCTTTAATTTCACATTCCTCTTTCATACACGTGACTAATGCCTGCAGTTCAGCTTCTGATGGTGCAATAAGCACTGTATCATCAACATACAGCAGACAATTTACTTTAATGTCACCCAATTTCACACCCAAACAACTATTTTTCAGCTTCTGTAAACAGCTGTCGAGATACAGTACGAACAGCCAGGAAGACATGACACAACCCTGTTTTACGCCCGCTTGGACGCTAAACATGGGTGACAGGTCATGCCCTACCCGCACACAGGCTTTACAGTCATAGTAAAGTGACTGCACAGCCCTTAACAATCGACCATCCACACCATATTCCCGCAACAGTTCCCACATTTTCTTCCTTATAACCTTATCAAATGCTTTCTCCAGATCCACAAAAGCACAGAAAATCCTCTGGTTAACAGTCAGAAGCTTCAGCGTCAGACTTTCAGAAGCGTCAGTTCAGCTTTTCCGTGATCATGCGAAGAGAAAACATTTGATCCGTGCGTCCTCTTCCAGGTCTAAATTCTCATTGTGCCTCCCATAATAATCTTTCCGATTTCTCATGCATCCTACGTGTCAAAACCTTCGAGTAAACTTTACTTGCTTAACTGGTCAAGGTGATCGCCCGATAGCACCGGCAGTCAAAATGTGAACCTTTACCTTTATATAAAGGCACAATGACCGCGGATCGCCAATCATCCGGGACCCTTCCGTCCGCCAGCACAAATTGCACAGCAGATGAAAGCTGTCCCAGATGCGAGGCCCACCGTACTTGACCAGTTCAGCAGTAACTCTGTCTAGTCCCGCAGCCTTACCAGATTTCAAACTTCGAATCGCACGTTTAATCTCTTTCATACTGATGACCTGTGTCATCGATGTCCGTGTTTGGCGTGCCAGTCACGGCGTCACCCCCGGATCCTTCACTAAGATCATGACACGCATACATTTCTCTATAAAATTCGCTCCATCACGTCCGATTTTTCTGAGAGGACGTCATTGGCTTTCGAAAGCACTTTGTTCATTCTTAAGGCTGTCGCACTACTCCGGGACCTTCCAACCTGTTTCCAGAAGAGTTTGGAGTTTTCCTTAAAGTTGTGCGACAACCTATCGTCCGCTTCTATTCTACACCTTTCACGTACTTCCTCAATCAATGTTTTCGCATGAACTTTCTGCAGCTTATATCTTTCTTTCATCTTCTCTCTCAAATGCTTATCGTTACTAGAGGCCAAGTAGTCTAACTATGCTTTTTTCTTCTTCTTTACAGCTTCTTTCACTTCATCATGCCACCATGCATCTCTTCTTTTACTACTACCTCTTTTTGTCGTTCCACATACTTCTTCAGCTGCACTTACCATTCCATTCCTAAGGTTCTGCCATGTTCTTTCCACACATTCTTTTCTGCCATCGAAGGTGTCAAGCTTTTCGGCTATCCTCGTGTGATATTTGTCCTTAGTATCCTGAAGCTTCCACTTCGGATGCGACAGACCGACTGTGGTTCTGTTACAGCCGTCCGGTAGCGCCAACCCGCGAACAAACTCCTAAATCTAGTAATTACTAGATAGTGATACGTTCCCAGGTCAGCACGCCTCA